TTCCACGTGTTTGACGAAGACCTTCCCCGGCAAACTCTTCGTGAAAGGATCAGCTAGGTTGTCCTCTGACGCAATCTTGGCAACATCAACGTCTCCTCTACCAACGATATCCCGAATCAGATGGTATTTGCGCTCTATGTGTTTGCTTGCCCTGTGGGCTCGAGGTTCTTTTGAGTTCGCTACTGCTCCACTGTTATCGCAGTACACGGTGATACCACGTGGCAAACTCGGTATAACCTCTAAGTCCACTAAGAAGTTCCTGAGCCAAACTGCCTCTTTCGCTGCCTTTGAGGCTGCTATGTACTCGGCTTCCATGGTAGAGTCTGCCACGCATTTCTGCTTAGCACTCCTCCATGAAATGGCTCCACTTCCCAAGGTAAACACATAACCTGAGGTTGACTTACTTTCATCCTTATCTGACTGGAAATCGGAATCACTGTAACCCAAAGGTAACAAGCTGCCTGCACGGTAAACTAACATGTACTCCTTAGTCCTTCTCAGGTACTTGAGTATATGCTTCACCGCAGGCCAATGTTCCCATCCTGGATTACTTTGATACCTAGCTACAATGCCAACGGCGTAGCTAATATCTGGCGTAGTGCATAGCATAGCATACATGAGACTTCCTACTGCGGAAGCATAAGGAACTGTCTTCATCTCCTCTATCTCCTTAGACGTCTTAGGAGACATCTCCTTAGATAGAGGTATCCCATGTCTGAAAGGTAACATACCTTTCTTGGAATCCTGCATGCTGAATCTGGCCAAGACAGTATCTATGTATGAAGACTGGGATAAGCACAATATTCTCTTCTTACGATCTCTAATGAGCCTAATACCAAGAATGTGTCCTGCTTCACCTAAGTCCTTCATATCAAACTGCTTAGACAACCACACCTTTACGTCTGATAACTCCTTCTTATTGTTTCCAATAAGCAGTATGTCATCTACGTAAAGCACAAGAAACACCACCACGCTCCCACTGAATTTCTTGTAAACACAGTGCTCATCCGGACATTGAGTGAACCCGTACGACTTGATCACCTCATTAAAACGGATGTTCCAAGATCTCGAAGCTTGCTTCAGTCCATAAATAGACCGATTAAGCTTACACACTAGATGCTCACGACCTTCAGCAATGAATCCCTCTGGTTGCTGCATATAGATGTCTTCTTGCAGGTTCCCATTAAGGAAAGCTGTCTTGACATCCATCTGCCAGACCTCATAGTCCATATGAGCGGCTACAGCCAAGAGAATCCGAATGGACTTAAGCATAGCTACTGGCGAAAAGGTCTCATCATAATCAATACCCTCGATCTGGGTATAACCTTTCGCAACAAGCCTAGCTTTAAAGGTTTGCACCTTCCCATCCAATCCTCTCTTTCTCTTATAGATCCACTTACATCCAATGGGTCGTACCCCATCGGGTAGTTCTACAAAATCCCAGACCTGATTGGAGTCCATTGACCCCATTTCAGCTTTCATTGCAACATTCCATGAATCTGCATCTTTATCTTGGAGTGCCTCATCGTAAGTTCTTGGGTCCGATTCTAGGCCTCCTGGAACTGAGTCTGACGACTCTCCAAGACCTATCCATCGGTCGGGTAAATGAGAAACCCTCCCACTGCGACGAGGCACTGTCTGCACTGGTACACTCTCAGTGTGTCGTGTTGCAGTATTATGTGATGTATCTACTTGCGCACTCGGTGGGGAACCATCGATCTCACCCCTTAACTCCTCTAAGACTAGTCTACTCGCGGGCTTATGATTCATAATATAGTCTTCTTCCAGGAATCTAGCGTTCGTGGAAACGATCACCTTCTGATCCTCGGGACTATAAAATAATCCACCTTTCGTTCCCCTGGGATAGCCTACGAAAACTCGTGCTTCCGAACGTTTCTCCAACTTGCCAGGTTCCTGCCCTAACACGTGTGCAGGACTACCCCAAACTCGAAACTGTGAGAAACTGGGTTTTCGCCCTTTCCACATCTCATAAGGGGTAGTGTCAACTGACTTTGACGGAACCATGTTCAGAATATACGATGCCGTTTCCAATGCCAAACCCCATAACGAATCTGGTAACCTCGAATAACTCAACATAGACCTAACCATCTCCATAAGAGTCCTATTTCTTCGCTCTACAACCCCATTCTGCTGGGGCGTGCCGGGTGCAGTCAGTTGGGATTCAATCCCAGCTTCCGATAAGTATGTCCTGAACTCTCCAAAAAGGTATTCGCCACCTCGATCAGAACAAAGTGATTTGATACATTTACCATGAAGCTTCTCCACAACTGCCCGATACTCCTTGAATTTCTCAAAGCATTCGGACTTGCGGTGCAACAGTTAAACGTACCCATATCTCGAGTAATCATCTATGAAAGACACATAGTACTCGAAACCTCCTCTAGCCTGGATCGACATAGGACCACACAAATCAGAATGAATCAATTCTAGCACTTCTTGGCTCCTATACCCCTTTGCCGTAAACGGCCTCTTGGCCATCATCCCTTCCAGACAGGATTCGCAAGTTGGATAGTGCTCTTCCAATGGACCGAGATGTCCACTGGCCACTAACTTTTGAATCCTCCTAAGGTTGATGTGCCCAAGTCTAAGGTGCCACAGATATGCTTGATTCATCTGCAAAGACTCCTTCTTTTTATTAGATGTAGTTATGACATTATTCAATTCATTATGTTGCACTGTGGGAGAGTTCGGTTTGAGAACATATAAATTGCCAACTAATGAACCACAACATTTGAAACGATTTTGAAAACGAATAATAACCATGTCATCAAACGAAACTGAAAAACCATCCATAACGAGTTTAGAAACTGAAACAAGGTTCTTTCTAAAACTA